CGCTTTTCCAACGGGTTTTATTTGCGTTTGGAGATTACAGAGTCTTTATTGCTGCTCTAATACAATCACTCAGACATTAATATTTAAAACATCCTCGCGAAAACGGGGCGCTTCCCCGGGCATCGGAGCCCGGCCGCGGCGGCGGCCCCCGGCGCTCGCCGCGGTGGCGCCGAAGGCGAGGACAGAATTAGTTTCCTTACATGGTTTTGCTGGTGTTACCTAAATCTGCCGTTCCTAAATCTTTAAAAATGCGTTACATTAAAAAAAAATAATAATAATTACACGTTTAATTTGGAGATGATCACAGAAAATGATTCCAGATTGATTAGGAAAAGCCAAGCAAGCCAGAAAGCTTTACAGAAGCGGAACGACATGGGGAAAAGCTTGGAAAAGAGACGGGGAAAACTGGATCCCCCTGGTCTCCAGGTCGGCTGAGGAACCGGCACGGCCGAGCGCACGGGGGCGGCCGCCTCCGCTCCGACCGCGCCGGAGGCCCCTTCGGCGGCGTCTCCGAGCCTCTTCCCAGAGAAATTCACGGGTTTTGCCGGATGTTGCGGACCTGGTTATTCCAGCACGAGAAAACAGGGCAACTTGAAGGCTAGGAGGTTCTGTGGGCTCTTTGCCAAAATTTTGGGATCTGAATAAAATCCACTGGTGAGTGGAGAGTCCTGAGAGTTCGTGGCTGCCGCTCGTCCTCCGGCGCATCCCGTGAGGTGCTTGGGAGGCTGCGAAGGCTTCGAGGAGGAGAGCGGAACGGGAGCAACGCGGAGCCCTCGGCAGTTTCCCCGACAGGCAGGACCTCTCGGGCGGTTTCTCTCCATCTCCGTCCCCGGCTCCGCGCGGGGCTGCCGAGGAGGCTGCGGCTCCCTCTGCCCAGCGCCGTTTCCAGGCCTTGCTCCTCTCCGGACAAACATTCCCGGCAAACCGAACTCCCGTGGGAATCGCTTCCGATAAAACCATCGCCTTTGGCAACACCGGAGCGTCTCAACAAGGGCCCTGCAGACCCGGCTCGGTTCCCGGCCTTGACTCCAGCTCCGGCTCCGGTGGGAGAAGTGTTTGGGTGCCAGGGAACCCCCCCAAAACGCTCCACCTGCGGGTCGGATCGTGGCTCTCTCCCGCCCGCGCGCGGGATTCCCGGCGCGCTCGGAGCGCGCGGAGGCGACCGGCGCTTGGCAGCCAGCGGATTCCAGCAGCCTCGATCCCCGAGAGATCGGCCAAAAGGGAAGAACGAAAGAAAAGAAAGAAAAAGCCCCGCGGCCCCCCTGCCCCGCGGCAGCGCAGGCAGCAGCGGGGAGCCGCGGGGGCAG